GGACTCTTCCTTGTATGTGAGGCAGGAAACATAGCCTTATATGGTGTTTTTGGGGTGGTAATTATGCTAATCTCCTCTCCACGAGCAGCTGGATACGAACAGGTGGAATTTACGCAGCTCATTTACATACTTTTCCTGAAGATAGAAGAGTTTGTTGAATCTGACTTGACATGTTCGTACGAACCCTTTGTACGAACAAAAGTAAGAGAAATTTAGGATAAGAATACGAACATGTTCTTGCATGAGGCCCAATGTCAGGCAAACACTAAAGTCTGATTTATACTCAATAAGAAGTCTTCTTCAAATGTCTCACTCATGTGTGTGATGAAAATTGTGTAATTTTCTACTCTTACCACCTTCTGACACCCTGTCTTGTGCATTGCCCTCGAACAGAACTAGCTCTCACCAGGGGATAAGATGAACATTTATTCAGAATTTCATGGGCATGTTTAGTCTGCAAAGTGGCTGCAGTGAGATAATCTCTGAGCAAAGTCTGCTGAGAATCTGCTGGCCGAGGCCAACATTAAAACTGTACCTGTAAAAATGATAAAGAAGGTTAAATAAAACCTCTGAAGATGGTAAATTAACTCAGGAAAGGAAACTGGACCATTTTGAGCATACAGTAGACAACACATAGCTCGTAGCTCGTAGCTCATAGGCGGCTCTCAGTGACTGTGCTGGCCCAGGAAGAGCTTGTCTCCTCCGGCAGCTGGTGGTGCTGGTGACCAGGAGGAGTGCGCCTCAGATGTGCAACGTATGGGGACATTCTCACATCTATTATAAACAGTGGCACTAGTTTTGTGACAAATTTATTAAATGATGCTTCTCCTTGATTAACAAGAAAAAAACAACAGGATTTTGCCCTCCATCATCTTCTGAAAATAAACCTCCTCTGAATATCAGCAAAATCAGACCTACATCTTGTTGAAGAATAACCAGGCCATGAAACTGAAAGATGAGCAATAATTTAGGCGTGTTTGTCTACCTTAATACGTGTTTGTAACCAGTTGAATGTTTGAATGTGAAAGAGTCGTACAACCACAAACAGCTTTGGGCTGGACTGCATGTTTTAATGAGGGTCTCTGCTCTCTCCACTGTGCAGATCGATACTGAAATATTGATACTACCGATACCAGGAACTGATGTTCTAGAATTGATACTAAAATCAAAATAGTGATACTTTGATACTTTAGTTATTTCACATAATGTATATCATTAACAGTAAAATAGTGGAAAACAACTAAACTATTCAAATCATGTCTAAATCATATGTGGTCGGAGGGAACTACTTTTTCTTCTGCTTGAGTAATGCATAAGCACAGTGGCATGTGTTCAGTCAGTCAGTCTGTAGATGTACGGCAGGTCATTTTAACATAAAATTGGCTTTGTCTGACTCTCTGTAATTACATTCTAGGTGAGGGGTTCCCAAACTTTTTCATGCCATGTCCCCACAAACAGCATTAGTTCTGGCCAAGGACCTTCTTGCAAACCCATAAACAATGCTATAAAATATACAAAGTAACAACTTTTAGAATGTTTTTTTCTCACTTTTATTCACTATTCAAAAATTATTATATTTCTTTAGAATAAGAATTTAAAATTGTGCTAAACAAATGTATGGTTAGGGTTAGAAAGACCTTTAAATTAAATAAATTATTATGCCATGTATTATTTATAAAGCGGTTATTTGAAAAAGACAAATTTTTAAGATTTACCAGACACATTATGTGTGCTATCACAAAGTATCAGTATCGGCTCAGTATCGCCGATACCAGACACATTTTACTTGGTATCAGTACCAGTAAGAAAACTGGCAGTATCGAACATCACTACTCTCCACGCGTCTGCAGCCAGAACAAGGCAGTCATATTATATAAAACTTTCTTCAGAATTTGACCCCGCCTGCTACATGTGACATCATCACTGGCGGGGTGGACCCATCCCCCAGGATCAAATTCTCTTGACATAATTCCTGGTTTTGCTAGTGTTCTTTACAGTCAGTCATTATGTGTTGAATATGTTCAGGCAAGTTGCTACTTCTAGTATGTACCTTCTGCTCTAAGTAGCCATCAGTGACAGCCACTCAGACCAGTCTGTACATAAAATCACCAATTTAATCACAAACATATTCACACAATGTTTTATAAAACTATCATATTTCACCTAAAAAAAGACCGTTAAATGTGTAGTGCCTTTAAAAGTCAGTAGTAAACAACCCCAATAAATTTCTTCAAAACTACAGAACATATTGATTAATACAACATATCATGTTGTCGTTTTGTTTAATAAAGACATGTTGGACACAAAATTGTAGACAGAATTACATTTATGTATTCAGAATCTATTCAAATTACTTAATTACAGTAAAAGAATGTGTTTTAATGGAAACACATGACAGGAGTAACTAAACAACACAAACTGAATGACATTTTCAACAAATTTAACTCTGAAAGCCGCAACTGCAAACATTTTATTTTACTGAAAAGCACATTTTATAAAAACACGGAGAATGATCAGTTCACTGTGTATTCTTAATAATTACACTGACAAGTCTCCAGTATTGTTAATATGAAACAAACACACACCAATATCCTTGCTTTTTTCTTTTCGACATAAACAAAGTAGATCCTTTACTCTGAGCATTTAAGTGTACCCACTGTAAACACACAACAGTTGTTTTTGTTTTTCTTAAAAAGAAAAATGATCAAGTTCAAAATCACAGAAGCTGCCAGGGTCTCAGGTTCAAAATACCAAAATGAGGTTTTTAAAAATGTATTCCTTGAATTTAGTTCATCATGCATGAAGATATATTAAAGGATAGAAGATATATTATTTTCGAGTAAAAACACTGATTGTTAGGATTCAGTCAAGTTGGAAAATTGATCAAATTCTTATTTCAAGGAGCAATTCAGTTTATTCAAATCACAAACTTGTGTAAAACTACAGACATTATAGGGGTGACCTGATCTGATACTGATATAGGATATTGGTCCGATGTCAGCCTACATCTAAACTCTTTGATATAAGCACTCCGAGACAAGCAGTCCATTCCAGCATTTCTACCCAGCAGCACTTAGATCCAGCATGCAGAGCCCACGTGATCACAGTAACATGCTGTGCTGACAAAGCAGCAAGGAGTAGGAGGTATGTCAGCAGTGTGGCAGTACTTTTCATTAAAGTCCAAAAACGAGGTTGCAGCCTGAGTGACACATTTGTCATACACAAGTTTTCCTTCATGGAGTTTATTACTGGAGAGCCAACCAGGCTCTACTTCCCATCCTGGCAAGAAAAGCAGCTGAGTTCCTCTGAATAGCAAAACATTAGTCATCACTGAGGAGCACAGGAGCAAGCTGACAGCTCAGCATGCTGGAATATAACTTATTGAAAAAAAAAAAGAATCTCCACATCATGCTCGGTCCGCAGAAAGTGATGATGGAGCAGTGAAAATAGGTAACTATGGATTTATTATTTAATATTATTATTTCTTTTTGTGCTTGCTATTAGAGTGATATGTTTCTTTTGTTTACACTATTGTCTTAGTGAAGACTAAGAGCAATCACATTGGTGATTGGTTGATTCATTGATCACATTGGTTTGGGCACAGTCAGTGAAATTAAAGCTCTGCCTCAGACCTTGTCAGGAACAAGTACACACACACACACACACACATTGGTAGAACTATCTTTTCCAGCTAAACACTTTACAATTTTACACATAATTGTCTTAAGAGCTCTACAATGTTTTTTTACATCAGGACAGGATCAGTGCAGTCTTATTTCTTTCCTTAAAAAAAGTTGCGTAATGCCAAATAAAACCAACACTGGATCATCAAACGCAGCAACTAATCCATTTCAGCACTTGGTTAAAAGAAAAACTAGTTGTCCCAGGTTCGATGCTGTGGGCTTGAAATGGATCAAAACAGTAAACTATGTGAGTCACTCACATACACATACCATACAAGTGAAGTAAGGAACTATACTACAAGATTATTTAGTTTTAGAAAGCTCTAAGGCAGTGATTCCCATCCAGGGGTTCGTGTACCCCTAGTGGTACGCAAGCATATTACAGGGGGTACGTGGAAAAGATTTCCCAGGTGTATTAAAAAGTTAATAAAAATAGGACTGGGATATGTAGGGCCCTAGGATTTCTGCAATGCAGAAAATGCAAACAGAATCACGAAACTGACACAAAATGGAATCCTGCATAAAAAGTGGAATTTCACAGAATTTAATAATTTGGGGTATTTGATGTATTTTGGACGCTGCTGTTTCCTGCACCTGCTTGGTTTATTTATTTAACTACTTATTCACTTTCAAGGCATCGTTTTTATTTATGTTTAATTTGAGTTGAAAAGAATAAAATGCCTGAGATTTAAATGTTCTAGGGGTTATTTGTTATTTAATAATCAGTTATTGTACATTATAGTTTTGGAGAATCATTACGTTTGACAGAGGGGGTACTAGTGGTAAAACAAAATGGCTCAGGGGGTACACAAGTCTGAAAAGGTTGGGAACCACTGCTCTAAGGGATGAATAATAGTTTTCATGCCTGGCATCATATCAGACACCTGAGGTCCCATCTGCACCACTCCAGATGTTTTGTCTTTCATTAAAAATGAATCTTTTCAAATAGTTCTAACAAAAATGCTGTAATACGCGTACCACATCCAGACCATCCTCATTACAGGTGTGTCAAATCCAGAGGAAGAATTTTAGTTTGGTTTTGGTAAATCTTTTAACCATTCTTTTTATTATTAAAATTATTATTTTAAATGCTTTTTTAAACTCTTCTTTCAGTTAGTAAAGTTAAGTGAGAAGGATGAAGACAAAACAGTAAAGACAGCTTCATTGTTGGTTAGGTTTCTGGGGCAAAAATTGTCTTTGTCGAAAGTTTCATATTTCCAATTTGAACAAATTCTTTCAAAACTAAGTTTTTCAGAACTTAAATAAAATTACTGTTCACTTGTAAACATGAAGGGCAGACACTGCAGAAATTACAGTAAAATAAATGGATATTTGAAGGAGTGTGGAACTTTTGGACCATCACGTGTCACTGGTAGGTGAAGACTTAAACTGAGTGAAGATTTTACTGTATATATTATTGTAACTGACTGTCCAGACTGTAAAAGGTTATTCAAGGTCAAATAAATGCTCCTCATTCTTTCCACTCATGTCACGCTGCAGACTGACTGGTTTTACCGTCGCCAGCAGACATTCTTGCTCATTTATTTTGAGCTCTTCATTGTCAGGGTGCAGTTGTCTGAAAAAAGCAAGAAAAAATCAGTTCTTCAAAAAAGCAATCTATTATCTTTTTTAAAAAGTTCATATTGTRCTGAGCTCACTGCTGGACTTGAGGACTTGAGTTCTGCTTTCTGTGGCTGTTGACGTCTGTCGGTTTGATGCCATGTAATCGGCTCCTGAACTTTCTGCTCACACTCTCCTGCTTGAACCCAGACAGGGATGCTTCTGCCAGTGCAGCCTACAAACAAAAGGACCAACTTTGTAATCTAACGGTAAATTCTACCATTCAGCAAACCACAAATCCAAAGGTTTACTGAATAAACAACATCTCACCTGTAAGGTGGACTGAAGTGTGGCTCCCAAAGCAAGACTGGAGGACACGGTTTTCATCAGTGATGGACTTCTGTCATAAAATATCAAACCTTTTTATGAATATGAGCTGAAGACGATCTATAAACAGATAATGCGTGGACTGAATGTGTTCCAAAAAACAGTCTGTTCAGAGTAATAACCTGTTCAGTTGTGAGACATGTTTTAAAAATGACCAAATAAAACTTTTTAAAATTATTCTTATTGCAAGATGAAACATATGTTTTTTTTTATCTTTACGGAATTTGCCCTTTTTCACAGTTTCAATTTTGTTGGGCTTTTTGCCTCAAATGTATAATTATTTGCTTGTTGAATTTGATATTTAACACTTACAGCAAGTCAATATTACAATAAAAACCTTTCAAATAACAGGCCTACAGGCTATTTAAACTCATATTAAGGGGTAGTCTGATTTGACTGGTTGTAAGAAGTTTTTTACCCTGCGATCCGCTGGGATCTCCTCCTCTGGTATTCCTCCTCATCCACCGTCCACACTGCCCCTTTCACATTCTCAACACGCACAAAACACTTGTGCAGGCTCAGGTTGTGGCGAACAGCGTTCTGATTGAGAGTGATGCAGATATTACAGATTTTACAGAACATGCGCTGCATAAATCAGCTGTGACGCACAGCATGATCACAGAGTTTATCTGCGGCACTGCTACCTTCCAAGTGGCGGCGTTACGTCTGAAATAAGCAAATGTCTTCGTGAACCAGTTGTAGATCTCGTTGAGCGTTAGCTGCATGTCTGATGCTTCCATGATAGCCTGGAGAGCGACAGGAAAGACAAAATGTAGAACATTGCAGATTAAAATTAAATCCGTGAGTTGTTGGCATCTCTTCTGAGAAGATGTTTTAATGGATAATCCCATATTTTGATACTGTTGGTAAATGGTGAATGGACTGTATTTATGTAGCACTTTTCTATCCATCCAGGACACTCAAAGCGCTTCACACTTTTTTGTCTTTCTGGTTCCAATCATACACTATTTGATGTTATAGAAAAAATAAGATATAAGCACTAGAATTCAGGTCATTTCAACCTAAAAACAGAACTAGTCTTTTTGTAACCATGGCTGCTCGTGTTATGATGACCCCCACACATGAAGCAGGGGTCGTACTGTTTTCATTTATTTTATTTCAAGATTTTTGGTCAAATGTAGCACAGTAAGAGCTGCACCAATCAATGTGAAATTTGGAAAGAATGTAGATGTGTCCAACCTACACTGTGCCAGCCAACGGTTTTAGGATAGCCCCCATATTTGAGGAGGGGGCTCTATCTAAAAAGGGGGTGACTGGACATACATAAATGCTTATAACTCAAAAACTATTCAACATAAGAGCTTCAGATTTTTTAAGCTCTTTAAGCTTGCTATCTACGGACCCCCACCCAAAACAATAAATCCATTTTGATGACTTCTGAGTTCTGGTGCGTTGGTGCTTTACGTATGTGTGGTGAACATATATGCTATCGCTGTGCGGTATCTAAACATGGTGACAGTTTTGTCAGAGTCCATACAAATTACTTAATTTTGTTTTTATTCTTCATGCAATCAAATGCTCCTACATGTCAACCCTTTCGAACATAATACCTGCAACTTGTCCGTCAGAGATCTGTAAATTTTACAAAAAAAATTATCCATAGTACTCTCATACAATACAATGTGGGTTTGGGTGGCGTTGGAGCAGACAGGTGGAATTTCGGCCACAGGAAATGTCTAGCTGTGAACCTTAAATAAATTTGAAACAATGTTTTAGAAAACATCTGTAAGATTATTATATGTCTGTGTACCTGCAAAGCTGGAGGGGGGATACTACAAATAAATGGCAATCCATACAACTTAAAATGTGTGAAAGCTGTGGTGAAAAGTCCTCATCTCATGAGGTTTGACTCATTAATAAACACACTTAGGGTTTTTAAGTCTTACCTGTTCGTTTTTGCCGACATTTATTGTCAGAAGTGGGACTGACTTGGTATTTTGCTGTTTTCTCATGCAGTTTTTGGGTTGACAGGGGTGTCATGGTTCAATATTGAGGAGCAACTTTAGCACAAGTATTGATGTGCACACTGCTTGTACACAAAATAACATCTGTTGACCTGAACTCTAAAAGGTATCCAAGTTGAAAAAGTTCAAATGAGTAAAAATAACCAGTGTTTAACTGATATAGTCTCAATTATTACTTTTTAGGTCTTACATTAAAGCAAATGTCTATCTCAGTAAGAAGAGTAAAATTATGGAATAACCTGTATATAACTGTAATTTCATTGTATCTTATCTTATCTTATCTTATCTTATCTTATCTTATCTTATCTTATCTTATCTCATATTATCTCATCTTATCTTATCTTATAATGATTCAAACTCTGATTAAATAGTTTATTACTATTTCATTTAAAATCTTAAGCAAGAATAAATATAACTTATTTATAAACTGAATAGATAATACTAAAGTTTGATCATATTAGTTGCAGGTGTTTTTTATGTTTTGAGTTTGTTTTGTAGAAAAATAATCAAATTTATTTTGTTGCTTTATTATTAAGAAGGGGGCAGGAGACATAAGTTTTCTTCCTACTCTGTTGAGCCTTGCCAAAGTTATGTATTTATGGATTAAGCATAAAAATCTGCTATTTGTGTTAATGAAATACAAAACAACACGTACCTGTCTGATCAGTGTTGCGTAGGTGAAAGGTGGTCTGATGTCAGTATTCTTATAAAGCTCATATTCATTTTCTGACAAAAAAGAAAGAAACCATTGAAAATGAAAACTGGAAATCTAATTTCTTAACTAACTGTGAGCAAAGCAGTGATTTTACCTGAAGACATAGAGAAGACCAAAGGTTGATCCCGACATCTCATGACCGCCGTTTTTGATATAGAAGTTGGCGACTCTTCTTCGCACCTATGGGTTGGGGAGCTGACAATGTCCACTGATTGGGGGATGGCCTGAACAGAGTCCAGGGGTCTCAGTGAGGGCAGCGTGCTGGTGAGCAGGCCTAGCTGCCACTGAAAGCAAATGATGCAGGTTAACAAAGGGCCGAGAGAAAAGAAACAAAACAAAGTGAGACATTTTTAACAGAGCATGACGGAGCAATTTGTTTCGGCTCCTCTGAGCTGCCTCCACTAATCTTGCAATGAGTGGGAAGCCAATTATTGTTAATTACAGGGTGAAATCGTTTGGTGAGTGTTGTGATTAGGGTTCAATATTTGTGAGATTAACACATGATTATCAGAGCATGTCTGCTGTCTGAAAAACAGAACGGCAACCATCTGGTGCCAGCAGCTGGGCAACAAAGAAAAATATATATAATGTGAGCATCATCATCATCATCATCATCATGGCCAGAGTAGAGGAAAACAAAGAGTGTTTGAGAGGCCAAAGAAAATGCTAAAGGTTCAAACCATTGATTTATATTTTTAGATTGGGCGTGGCTAGCTCCATTGACATGCACACACTGGAGCTCTGTTATGCATTGAAGAGCCTCAACAAAATTAATGGAGGTCAACGGACTGTGAGGCGTCATCCTGATGAAAAACTCATAACTTTCTTATTTCTTGCTTGATTTTTACAAACTATGGTTCAAAATAAAGCTGAGGAAATCGTGAATTTTAATGTTGTGGAAATTTAAAATAAATAACTAATTTAAATTAAAACAGTGGCTTCAACTAAGTATTTTGCATTTCACAGGTGTGTTTTCATACAAATCCATGAGTTCTGACGAGCTGGAAGCCCTATTGGGCCCGGTACAGGGCCGACAAGAGAACTGAAGGAAATCTTCTAAAATCTTGTGGGCTTAAAGGGTTAATCAGAACTGAGTCTGAAACGTTAAAATAAAATTAATATTTCAAGTATATATATATATAGTGTGTGTGTGTGTGTGTGTGTGTGTGTATGTGTGTGTGTGTGTGTATATTATTATGTATATGTGTGTGTATACTTGATCCACATGTATATAGTGCTCTCCCGATCTCTGTGTGTTTAACAAATATTTCTTCAGTAAAACTATAGAATTGCAAATGTACACAATATAATATGATATGCATTTATACTGTTTGATTGTTTTATGTCAGCTTAACTTTACAAAAGTTTTTGCTACAAACTACAATAATTTTAACATCAGTAAAAACAAACTAAAAAATACAAATTGTTTCAGGTCACAAAAAATTGTTTAACGAATTTCTTTTTATCACAAAGTATTATTCTTCAGCTTCATAATGATGCAGGCTGTATCTGAAGCTAACCCACAGCTGGCACACATTTTTTTTCTCCTTTTTCAATGGAAATGTTGAAAAACACACAAATATAATATCTGAATAAACTGGCCTGTCTGACAACTTGACTATTTTATCACTGTCTCCATCATTAGGTTATTAGGTTATTATCATTAGGTATTCATATTTTCTGAATTATTATGCAGTCTAACTAGTCAGCAATCCATATAAATCCATATTTTACATGTTTAATATCTGTAAGTTATGTATTTGACAGCAGATAAAATAGATTTTAAATAAGGTTAAACATGAACATTGCAGCTTTTTAGCATACAGGTTTTACAATTAATATAATTAATTTTGATTAAATATGCATAATATTAGCTGTGAAACGTAACCCTTTCAGCTCTTGTAAACATGTAACAATCTATGTAGTTTATAACAAAGTATTTGTGCCATTTGTAGGTTTATAAAGCATTTGTTTGCACCGCGCTACGTTCTGTTCGTTAATTTCAATGTTAGCATTAGCATTAGCTCAATGCATAAAAATCCCCCTTGCGAAGCACACCCAGGTCACGTGACCCCCAATCCAGAAATACGTATATATCAATGGTTCAAATAAATGCATTCAGTTAGATACAGATCAACGTTATAAGACTTTTTTTGTTTGTTTGTTTCTTTGAAAGCACCAAAATGTCTTTGCAGCTGTAAGTTTTCTGGTAAATTACAGTCCTGCACTATGTTTATCAGGGCAGGAGGAGATGGAGTTCCAGTTCCACATTAATTATGTCCACCACTTCTTCTGAGTTTACCTACAGCATCATGTGTGCCACTTTAACCTTTCACACCAGTTCACACTCCATCTACCTGCGGGCTGTGAGGGTCAGCAGTCAAGTCACATGTTGGCGATAGAGCGTTTGAAGAGGGCAGGTACAGGTGAGCCATCATCGCTTGCAGACGCTTCCGCTCTTTGCTGAGCTGCTCAAAAAGATTGAAACATGGAAAGGAAGTCCTTAGGAGTGGTGTGATAAAAACACAAATAACAGAATTAAACGTTTGTCTTAGGGTGAGTGTTGATGAGAAACTGAAGTGTTTAGTTCATGAAATATTAGAAAAATACAGGGAAACAGATGCAGAATTTTAAAGAAATAATAATAATGATAACAGTATTATTATTATTATTATTATTAATAATAATAATAATAATAATAATAATAATAATAATAATAATAATAATAATAATAATAATACATTTATTTGTGTAGCACCTTTCAAAACACAGTTAAAAAGTGCTTCCATGCATCTATCCATTATCTTCTGCTTTATCCGAAGTCAGGTCTCAGGGGCAGCAGCTTGAGCAGGGAAGCCCAGACGTAAGTTGTGAACAGAATCGGTAACAATGAGCAGCCTTGGTGAAGTCCAGCCAGGGCTAAAGGGTTGACTTACTACCGGAAAAGCAAACCAAACTCTTGAACCACTTATATAGAGACTGAATGGCCCGTAGCAACGGACCCACAGTCCCATACTCGCATAGCACCCCCACAAAACACATGTAGACTGGATCAGCAGACTCTCATGACCCTTCAAGGACCCTAGTGAGGGTAAAGAGTCGGTCCAGTGTTCCACGGCCAGGACAAAACCTGACTTGTTCCTCAAGAATCCAAGGTTTGACTATCGATCGGACTCTCTTCTCCAGTACCCCTGGAAAGACCTTACCAGGAAGGCTAAGGAGAGTGATCCCACTGTAATTGGAGGACACCCTCCAGTCCCCCTTTTTAAAGAAAGGGACCACCACCCTTGTCTGCCAATTGCACTTCCCCCAATGTCCATGCGATGTTGCAAAGGCATGTCAACCAGGACAGCCCCACAACATCCAGGGATCCAGGGTGGATCTCATCCATCCCTGGAGCCCTGCTGCCGGGGAGCTTTTTAACTACCTCAGCGACCTCAGCTCCAGTTATGGATAGAGCAGCCCCAAAGTCCTCAAAATGTGTTTCATCACATAATACATTCAAAACACATAAAATACATGGCGCAAATAAAAAAAAAGAATAATTATATAAAACATGTAAAAATCAACAATAATACATTTTTTAAATTGTTTTAAAAGAGGACATTGAAGAGACTTGTCTGATGTTAAGTGGCAGTGTATTTTCCAAACTGCCTGTAATCATTCTCTGGGAACCAAAAGTAGTGATTGATCAGATGATCTCAGAAGTGGCAAGGGGGTGTAAGGAGTAAGTAACTCAGTAATATATGATGGTGCAGGTCTATTCAATGATTTAAAAGCTAACAATACAATATTAAAATCTATCTTAAACACCATAGGTAGCCAGTGTAAAGTAGGAAGAACTGGAGTAATTTTATCAAATTTCTGGGTTCCTGTGAGGATGTGTTTTGTTGTCTTGTGTCATAACTCCTTCTTGTGTTCCCTCCTTGTCATTATGCTTCTTTTTCCCCTCAGTTGTTTACCTGTCATTTTCTCCTCTGTCACAAACACCTGTCAGTAGTTTCTAATCAATATTTTCATAAGCTGTTGTTCATCTCCTCATTCCCTCTGTATTTATTCTGGTTCAGTCCTCCACACACACGCTGGTTCATTGTTTGGCATGTCCAACAGTTATGGTCTCCTTGTTGTTTCCCTGTGTTCTACATACTCCTTGTTGTGTGGCTGCCACAACAGCTTTTGTTTTATTTTCAAGAAACACTTTTATTTTTTTGGAAACTCTTCACCTCTGTCCGGATCTGGGTTCATTCCTTAGTAAAACGCAACACGTATGAACCACCCACTAACTAAACCCACCGGGAGGATGAGTTTTCTCGAGTTCACCAGGAAGGAGAACATTTTCGCTTCCTTAAGTGAGTGGGGAAGGAGTCCAGCTTGAGGGTTGGCTGGGACTCAGCAGGTCCAGCAGCCTCAGACCATCATCTGGGTAGGTGGCTTCCGGATGACACCTGCTCAGCCCGCCTGGAGACGTGAATGCCGGGGTCCGGAGTTTGAGGTCCTCCTGTCCCCTCTCCTTGTAGAGGAAGAGGAGAGAAGGTCCAGGACTCAGTTCTGGGGGTCTCGCCTTGCGTTCAGGTCTGCGCCACTGCCACCTGGGGAGAAGGACCAAGCATCTGAGCTGCCAACTGGATCCTCTCAGCATCACCGTCGCCAGCGGAGAAGGACAGCTGCCCCTCCTGTGTACCCAGAATACAACCCTGACTATGATCTTGAGAGTGATCCCTTCAGTCCCAAGTTTGTCAGGTACTGCTCCACCAAGCTGATGGATCCCTGCTGCATCGAGACAATGGTTTCCCGTGCTCCAGTGTCACCTCTGAGAGGGTCTTGGATGACGCCTCCTCCAGTGCTGCCTCCGAGGGGGTCCCGGACACCTTTCCCTCCAGTGCCGCCTCTGAGAAGGCTCCTGAGACCTCTAGCCTCCTGTGTCTCCGAGAGGGTCGACCCCTCTACCTCCTGCACTTCCAGGGCCTCCGTGAGGGTTGACGCCTCTACCTCCTGTGCTCCCTGTGCCTCCATGAGGGTCAACACCTCTACTTGCACCACTCCCAGTGCCTCCGGGAGGGTTGATACCTCCACCGCCATCTGCTCTCCAGCGAGGGTCGACCCCTCTACCTCTTGCACTCTCAAAGCCTCCGAGAGGGTCAACGCCTCCATCTCCTGCACTGTCCGTGACACCGAGAGGGTCAATGCCTCCACTGCCTCCAGCGTTCCAGCGAGGGTCGACGCTTCCACTACCTCCTGCATTCCAGCGAGGGTCACCACCTCCACTGCCTCCTACGTTCTGGCAAGGGTCGACGTCTTTGCCTCCTGTGTGGAGGGTCTTAGGGGGGAGGAAGTGGTGGTGACCACCTTGTCTGCAGTTCTGGTGTTGGTCTCCATGTTTGCTGCAGCCCTTGTGAAGATACTGATGCCGCCTGCAGCTGAGACCTCGCCGCCTGCAGCTGAGGTTTCCACGTCATCTGCAGCTGAGGTTTCCACATCGTCTGCAGCTGAGGTTTCTACATTGTCTGCAGCTGAGGTTTCCATGTCGCCTGCAGCTGAGGTCTCCACATTTCTTGCTGCTGCTGAGCCTTCAGAGCCAGAACCAGCACATGAGCCTATTGAGCCCCCATCCAGGTCTGCCTGAGGCTCTTGAGGTTTCCACGTTGGCCTGTGCTGAGCTCTCATTACCAGCTGCAGTCCCACCTTAGCTCTCATCGCCAACTGCAGCCCCCGAGCTCTCATCGCTGGCCCCTCCAGAGTCTTCTCTGCTGGCCCCTTCAGAGTCTCCTGAGCCCTGTCTCCTCCACGGCCGGGCTTTGGGCCACCCACCAGAGCTCCGCCTCCATCACGGCCAGGTCCACGGTTGCCCTCCAGAGCTCCGCCTCCACTGCGTCCGGGTCCATGGTCACCCTCCAGAGCTCCATCTTCACTGCGGCCGGTCCACGGTCGTCCTCCAGAGTCCCTGCCTCATCTGTGTTGGGTCCCTGGGCGACCACCTGAACTTTCTGCCCTCTTCAGATGTGCCTAGGGCCATCTTTGTGACTGTTTTTTCCCAGGGTTTCCTGTCGGTTTTTGGTTTGCCTTTTTGTTTTCTTTTGTTCCCTGTCTGTTTTTCTTGTCCTGTGGTCCATGCTGTCTTTGTTGTTGTTTATGTCCCTGTATCCTGTGTTGTTTTTACCCCCTGCCTCCCTCCAGTGTTCGTGTCATATCGTCCAGTGACGATACGTGGAGGGGAGGTACTGTGAGGATGTGTGTTTTGTTGTCTTGTGTCATACCTCCTTCTTGTGTTCCCTCCTTGTCATTATGCCTTTTTCCCTTATGGTGCGTTCACACCGAACGCGATTTCAGCTTCAAAATCGCAGCCAACGCTGAAGTTTGAAGCTTGTGCACTTTGAGGTCAGAGGTAGGACAGCTGCGCTGCACGGCAGAGCCTCCCCGCCCCTCCCTCCTCTGTCGGGCTCTGTTTAATGTCGGACGAGGAAGTGGCTTTGCTTTATTTACAGGGAGCAAGAGCGTGTCACGTTCATCAGATAATTAATTCATAATTAATTCACCAGATAATTCAGAGTAGAGGCTCACAGCTCGCTTTCAGGACTATTTTTCCAGTCTGATGAGTCGCTGTCACGCATTGGAGCGGATCAGGACACTGACTGCAGGCACGATTTCAGCTAAAGAGCTCCTGTCCGTCTGTTTCAGGTTAGTGGAC